CCAAGGTTCAAGCCTGTGCGGTCCGCGGTCGTGTTTGTGCGGACCGCGCTAGAGGCCTCCGCGGCCGCAGTCCATTCTGTGCGGTTCGCAGAGCCTGGGTTCAGAGAGTTGATTTTTCAGAGTCAAGAGCCAAGTGCGGCCGCACACCATTTTGTGCGGTCCGCACTGACCCTGCAGGGGTATTTTTGTCTAACTTTTCTAGCTTAGAATAAATAGAATATTTTTCCATTTTTAGGGTATCAGATATTATAGAACAGTAGCTGCGCTCGTGAGAAGCCATTTTGGGCACTTTAACGTAGTTTTAGCAATTGAATCATTATATTTACTTCAGTAATTTAATATTATGTCTTTCTCTTCATCTATTTCTCTGATTTTATCTTCAAGCATGAGTAGCTAAACCCATTAGCTAGGGTTGTGGCTCAACAGGCGGAGGGAATGAAGGGACCTGCAGGAGGCTGAAAAGCCGTAGTGCGCTAGCGCTAGCGAGTTAGCGCAACAACTTTCCCTAGTGTGGGTAATTGATGGGTATTGTGATTTAAGGTTAGATTGATTATGAGTGTTTGTTATTTGGGTCAATTTTATGGTTTAGTTTATGAATTAGTGGTTGCAAACACTAGTTTGTGCTTAGTAGACTTGGGCTCTTCTTGAGAAAGAGAGCCTAAGTCTCCAAAATTGACCCAACAAGGAATTGGGATGGACTCAAGAGATTTGATAGTCCCAATTAAAGGGTTAAACCTTGAGAGAGTAATTACCCGACTTGAACCCTAGTTGCTTGGGCAATTATGCATACCCAATTGGTCTCGAGAGAGTCAATTGGGCAAAACCACTCTTTCTACCAAGAGGTGTAGAGTGGGTAGTATTGAGAAACGGTTATAACATATCTCCCCAATCATGTCGATCGTGCCTTAGATGCAATTACCCGTCAATTAGCACCTAGGTGAAAGTCACTACCCTAGTGCCTTTTTAAACCATTAGATACAACTTGTAGCAATTCTCATTTAGCATAATCTAGCTGCATTTATAATTAGTAGTTGATAATAGTAGAATATAAAGAAAATACCAAAAATGATTGGAAGTGATATTTGGAACAATTACACAACTCCACTCTAGATAGATACTCGACTCCCTTCCTAGCTCCCTATGGAAATCGATCCCGACCCACAAATTGGGTAAAAGCTATTGCGACCCTCTCTTCCTACTTTTTAGTAGTGCTGAGTAGGCAGCGATCACTTTTTGACGCCGTTGCCGGGGCGCTAACGATTTTGGATATCTATTTAGTTAGTTTTGTGTGTTGTTCTTCTTTCCTTCTTTGTTACTAATTTGTGTGTGTGATTACTACAGGTACCCAATGGCTTTAAATACTAATGACCCTCTTGGAAATGTGCTTGCGGGGGAAGAGGTAGATGAAATTGGAGAGGATGAGGTGCCTCTTGTACCTCCCGGACCATGACGAGGCCGCCAGGCGAATGCTAATGATAATGTTCCAGACCCTCCTCCGCAACCTCCAAGAGTGGCTCCCAGAGTATTACCAAACCAAGGATATACAAGTGCTATTGTCCCACCCAGAATCCGGGAGGGCAATTTTCATATAAGTAATGTGATGTTGACCTTACTTGAGCAGCGTGGGTATTTCATGGGCGCTGCGGATCAAAATGCCTACAAACATCTAAAAGGGTTCGTGGATACATGCTGGGGTAGCAAGCAGATGAATGTGTCCGAAGATGCTCTTAGGTTGAGACTTTTCCCGTTCTCACTTCGGGGAAAGGCATTGGATTGGCTAGAGAGACTCCCCAACCATTCTATCACAACTTGGGATGAGTTGGAGGATAAGTTTATTGCTAAATTTTTCTCACCCGGGCACATGGCGGCACTTCGAGATGAGATATTGGCTTTCAAGCAAGAACCTACGGAAACTTTGCATGAGATTTGGGAGCGGTTTAGAACAATGGTGAAAGAATGCCCAAACAACGATATGACCGAGGCGATGATTCAACAAACCTTCTATCGGGGCATCAACACTACAAATCAGTGCATAGTCAATCAATTGGCCGGGGGTAATTTTATGAAGTTAACTTATGACGAAGCTTGCGAGATTCTTGATGAGATAGCGGATACATCTTCCGCATGGCAAAGTAAAGCCAATGTTCCCCAAGGTGACCTTACGGTTATTCATTTGCATAAGGAATTACACGACCATGGGCAAGCTATAGCGGAGTTGACAACTACTATGAATCAATTGGCTAAGGCACAATTACAACAAGTCCAAAACCCTCGCCAAGTGAATGCTATGGAAAGTGTTAATCTGCTTACTAACACGAGAAGGCAAAGAAGGCAATAAAACCAAGGGAATTCTGAGCAATTTGGTGATGATTGTGATGGGTTTCAAAATGATGGGTATGTTGAGCAAAATGAAGAGGTACAATATGTTAACAACTATCAAGGCAATAGAGTCAACTCTTCAAACCAACAATGGCGACCCCAAGGAAATTGGGGCAATCAACAACAAGGTGGTGGTAATTGGAACAACAACAACCAAGGCGGTAATTGGGGGAACAACAATCAAGGCAACCAAGGGCATTGGAATGGTAATAACAACAATTGGAACAACAATGGTCAAGACGGGTGGAACAACAATGGAAACCAAGGCAATCGGGGGAAAGGCTTTCAAAGGCCCCCGATGTACCAACAATCGAACAATCCACCTCCGTTTCAATCTCAAGGATCTAGTTCTTCGGGTAATGATATGGAAAGAATAGAAATGATGTTCGAACAAATGATGAAGAAGAACCAAGATTCCGATGCTTAATTAGCTTCCCACAATACCTCTATTCGGAATTTAGAGGTGCAATTAGGCCAAATCTCTCAATCGTTGAATGCTTGCCCTAAGGGTGCTGTACCAAGTGATACGGTAGTAAACCCTAAAGGTGGGAACAATCATGTGATGGCGGTTACAACAAGAAGTGGGAGAGGCAGTGATGTGCATGCCTCGAAAGATAAGCAAGTTGTGGATGATGATGTTGAGNGCATTTATTATCTTGTATTTTGAATGAATTTTGTCGTTATGTAATATGTATTAAATTAATCTTGTATCGCAATGATTTCCCTTTTATTTGAATTATTAGTTAATCTATAATAATTGCTTACAAATTATATTATTTAAAATTATTTTAATTATGGAAATTACAAATTAATAAAAATAAAAGATGGAATTTGTTTAATTAAAATTAAAAAATGAAATTAAAATGAAAGATAATAATATAATATAGAAGAGAGAGAAAAGTTTGGAGAAAAAAATGGGGGAATGGTTGGAGTAAGTTGTCCCCATTTTGGGGACAAAAAATAGGGTAAAGGTTGGAGTAGTAGGAAACTCATTCTTTAATATCCATTTTAAAGAATGTAAAAAGATGTACAGTAATATCACCATTTTTAATTTTCCACAGTAACTTTCTTTTTAGTTTTCTAGTAGGTTAATGCGCTCATCAAACTATTTTGTTTGTTGGTAGACTTCTTAACTTAGAATTTTAAAACCAAAACTATTTAGTAAAGTAGAAGTTGAACACTTCAATCAAGAAGCCGCTAATTCACATTATTTATGATAAACTCTTGATTTGTTGAAATCTGCGGTGGCGAATTTGTTTGATTTTGACGTAAACTTTCTAACCTTTAGACTATTCTTGAAATTTTCTAACAATATACTTTCCTATAGTATTTCTTATCGATAAAGATGTAGAACAATTTGTACTATTGCTCATGAAAAAAATATCTTGTCCATTAATTGATTATGTTTGTGTCTTCTAGAATGAACTTAAGAATATATACTTTTTAAAATTTTTATAGACAAAACTCTTAAATCTTCAAGAGTTTGTGTTCTTGTTGATTTTATTGAAATTATAAAACTGAAATAAACTTTAAATTGAATATATTTACTAAAATGATTGAGGACTTCTATATACCTCTCACCGTTTCTTCCTTTATTGAGTTGTCTAAGTAGAATTAACAATCATCTTTTTTAGGAACTTAGATATTCTCCTTTAACTTTTATTTTATAACTCAAATATAATTTATTTTTATAATATTTTTGCAATTTTAGAAATTAGGTACTTATAAAAACAGAATACAAATGCGACATGCTTACCCTAAGATTAGTTATATAGTATTAAATAGAAACCCAATGATAAAAATCAAATAGAATAGGAAAATTACTTTTAAATCTTGATTTTTGTATATTTTCAAGATTAGCTTTTAATCTCGCCAAAAGGCTTTCAAATTGGTCTCTAAATATATGTCATTTTAATTTAGAGTTTAAGTTCAATAACCTGACGGTGTTAAAAAGATTTTTCGGCAATTTCACATAATTTTTTTGTACAAACATTAATTAGTAATTTTGAAAAAAGAGATTCAATTTTTTATAAAATATTTTAATACACTAATAGTGTAAAAAATTATTTATATTTTTATATATAAATAAAAAAATTATTTATATTTTTATTCATTTTTTTACATTAATAGTGTTAAAAATTAATTTACATTAACAAAGCATTTAATTCAAATCCTCTAAATTTAAGTATTACTACTATCTTTTATTTTCACTTCCCTAAAATTAGATTTCCCTTTTCAGGGTCAGTTAATATCCCATTACACGCCACCTTTATAAAATGAGAACACACCTCCATTAATGCTATTATGTAATCCTTTCGGTCCAAAATAAGTAATTTTTTTAAATTGTTTTCACGCATATTAAGAAACTCATATTTAATAATTAACAATAGAATTGACCATATTAATCTTTTACTAGCTCTTACATAAATACTCCTAACACATACTTTAACATTATTTACTTCAAGGGTAATATAAGAAAAAAATAATTAATTCATTGTTGAAATTTATAAAAATCACTTATTTTAAACCAATAAAAAAAAGTCAAAAATAATTTATTATGGACAGGAGTAGTACTAATCCCTGCAAAGGCAATCATTATTTTGAGTCATAAAAGGAATTTCAATATTTGGCTCAATAGAACAATTCTTTTTCCTGCAAAAACCAACTTTTCACATCAAGGCCGGCCTTCTCGCTCTCCTCTTTCCCTCTCTCTGTCAATGTCATATCACCTCTGCCCTTTCAAACATCTGAAACTTCAACTTGAAACTTTACTTATCACAGCTGCAGAGTTAAAGAAAAAAGCATAAGTCAGTAAGATACAGAGAAGGAGGAGCAAAGGAGTAGAAGAGGGGTCAAAACTTGAACACACGTACAAATTCAAGAATCTTGGTATGTGCACATGTTTTCCAGCTTAGCTGATTTTTGTGTTTTGAAGAGTATTGTTTTTTCTTCTACTCTTGTTGCTGTAGATGTCAGCAGTTTATAAGGCTTATTACCTATGAAATGAAATATATGTCCTGTTTTTGTTGTTTTCAGTTTCCCTTTTAAATTTAAGATTTTACTGACAATTCGTTTAGGTGTTAAGAGGAGAGACATATATGAGTGGTTCAACTAGCTAGAATGCAACGTTTCTTCTCTTCTTTCGGTTTTACCGTTGCTTGGAAATAGGGGTGGCAAACGGGCGAGTCGGGCAGATGTGGGCGGGTCGAAAATGAATAATGTAATAACGGATAAATTGTCCGACCCTAACCGTGATTAATATGGATAGAAAATGGGTTAACCGTTGGCAGTGGCAGAAGCAGGATTAACACTAAAGGGGTTCAAAATAAAAGAGATTATGACCGGTGGGAATTGAAATAATTACCTTACAAAGATTTTGAACCTCCTTGACAACTAAGTTACGCTTTTGGGCTGTGTTAAGAGGATTCAAAATATAATATATAGAGATACAAAATAAATTTTACCTTATATGCACAATGTAATATTCCCGCGAAGGGGGGTCGGGTGAACTCCCGTCTGCCCCTCTAAATCTGCCCTTGATCGACATATAATATTGATATCCATTGCTTCTTGAATATGATCATTTTTGGGAGATTTCTTAGTCTCCCAAGCTTGAGCAAGCTCCAATTTGAGTCTTTACAAATGTAAAAGTTAAAACCATTGATTATTCATTTTCTAAGTGGATAATATAGTTCTTACCATATTTGACTCGTTTCTATAAAGTTCATTATCCAACTCATTTTTTAATGAATAATATAAATGGATAACTGTTTTTAATTCATTTTGCCACCGCTACTTGAAAATATCTTACCTTGGTATTCTTTCTTTTTTGGTCTTCTATAGGGACTTATTGGCTAATACTGTTATATGATGCATCCTAAGGCCAAAGAGCATCGTTCTCTAACTTTACATGTGGATGTACTTAGAAACCTTCCGGAGAATGTAATTGATGCCATTTTGATGTATTTGCCTTTTAGAGATGCTGTGAGGACTAGCATCTTATCAAACGGATGGAGATATAAATGGTGCCGACTTCCAGAATTGACGCTTGATGATGCTGTTTGGACAACTAAAAATAAAGTAATACTCTGCACAAGTAAAATTACCAAGATTATCTCCCACATCTTGAAACTTCGTGCGGGACCAATTACAAAGTTTGTCCTTTGCGTTAGTGGTTCGAGAAGTTGTCCTAAGATTGATGACTTGATATATTTCCTCTCTAGAAATGGCATTCAACATCTCGTTCTTAGACTTCCATTCTGTGGTGATCCGTACAAATTGCCTTCTTCATTTTTCAAATGTTTGCAGTTGAGGCATCTGACTCTCCAGAATTGTCAAATACTTCCTCCACCAGCCTTCACAGGATTTGATAGGTTAATTAGCTTGGAACTATCTTTGAACCTATCTGACGATACAATTTCGTCCAAGTTGCTTGAAAGTTTAATCTCTCAATGCTTGTTGCTCGAGCATTTGGCCTTGGATATTGTAGTTTCTTATAATGACGTCATTGAAATTAATGCTCCCGTGTTGAAGTCATTTGACTTCGCAGGCAGTTTAAGCTCTATCTTCTTAAAGAAAGTTCCTCTTCTGGCAAAACTTTCACTTACAGAGAATGGAGATATTTTAGTGGCAGAAAATTGGGATTTTGTGAAGTTTTTCGAGTCTTTTTCTGCTCTCGAGCATCTCCTCTTGAATAACATGGTAAATGTTGATTTCTGACTTCAGCGATTTTCAATCTTTAGGACTTCATGTTATATGCTAATTTTTGTATATTCTCTTCCTAGTTCTTTGCGGCAAATGCAGGTAAAGTACCAACAAGACTTCCCTTTAATCTTAACTGTGTCAAACAGCTTGACATATCAAATCTTGATTTGTATGATTCTGCTGAGGTTTCATGTGCTCTTTGCTTGATAAGAAGCTTCCAATATTTACAATATATGGAAATTCAGGTACTCTCTCTTTCTTATGTTGTGGCTTTCTTATTTGCATACTCTTTAAATCATCAATAAGTGCAGAGAATTAAGTTTGGTTAATATTTCTTTTGAGGCTTACTGTACGGATGATATAGCAGCTCTAGATCTAGAGGAGATTGAAGTGGAACTTTCCTCGGATGCAACATTTAATCACCTCAGAGAAGTTAAGCTAGAACTTACTAATTGCTCAATCATTGAGATGTTGCTTATCAAGCTTCTGTTAGCCAAGTCTCCAGTGCTGGTGAGAATGCTAATCAAGCTCTACATGCCTGTCAAAGAATCTGCAAGTGTCAAAATATTCGCGGCTGAGTTAACAAAATTTCAGCGTGCATCACCTAAAGCAGTAGTCATTATCGAACACTAGTGCATGATTGCGATCCTGTTTATTGATCTTCAGGAGCCTTTAATCAAACTATAATCATTGGCTCAAGTATTTTTGAAGATAAAGCAAATAGATAGTAACTCTAAACATCAGTTTTTGGAAGATATATGTGAATCAGGGTGGATGATTTGACTAGTCTCGCGTCATTTGTCATTGGGTTCTTGGATTAACTTCACAAATTGATATCATAGGTCGTTAATTTTTATTTCATACTTCAGAGTTAGATTGAAGGGGAGCCTTGGCATAACTGGTAAAGTTGTTGCCATGTGACCAGGAGGTAACGGGTTCGAGCCGTGGAAATAGCCTCTTGCAGAAATACAGGGTAAGATTGCATACAATCCCTTGTGGTCCGGCCTTTCTCTGGACCCTGTGCATAGCGGGAGCTTAGTGCACCGGACTGTCCTTTACTTTAGAGTTAGATTGTGGGTTGCTGTGTGTTAATTTTCTACTTGGTGATATTCCTATTAATGGCAAAGTTAAAGCATTCTCTTAAGTATTATATCTCTGTAAGGTAGTAGAGCCATGGAGAATTGATACAAGGTAAAGGGTAGCACTTGCTATTTTACTTTTTCTTTAATTCACTATGGTATTTGATATAATCTCACATTTCATCTGTAGTTGATACAATGAAGTGTTCCAGGAAAAGTATTTTTTACATGACGATCTTCAAGGTACTTATATGCTTTTCATTTATCAATTAAGGGGTCGTTTGGTAGGATAGCATTAGATAAAATAATGCATGCATTAGCTTTGTGTATTAATAATACCTTGTTTGGTAGATATTTTGAACCTATGCATTAGTTATGCAAGCATTAGCTATCCATCCTGTTTGGTATTATCCTACGTATAACTAATGCATAGAAAACCATGGTATTAGCAATGCAATAGGTTTTAATGCATGCATTAGCTTAGTTAAAGACAAAATTGTCCTTCAAAATTTATGCTTGATTAAAATATGCTAGTTATCATATTAATGCAAGTTTAAAATAATCCAAATAGTGAGAAATAAAATTATATCTCTAGTAAATAAATAAATACTTAGCATATTTCCTTTTTTATAAATAAATATTTAGTTCAATATTACAATATAGGTAGACAAATCAAATAATTTTTTTAAAAACCTTTTCATATAAAAATATATCTCAACATATGTTTCTTTTAAAAAGTTAGAGTGATGGACTGGTTTTGAGGGCATTTTTGTAAACAAATAATTCTTTTAGAAATTGTGCAATGCTTTAATACATCAATCAAACCAAACAACGGATAAGAAATATGTCAGCATAACTAATACCAGCATTAATAATACACCCTTTTCAGCATTATTCTTATGCACCCTACTAAATGACCCCTAAGACTTCAATTTAAGAGCAAGGTCTCGGGGATAGTGGCTGTAACTGTAAGCATTTGCTTTCATAGTCAAAGAGCAGGGGAAATAATCAGAATAACCAATTCATTGGGTTCAGTATGGTAACTAAAACATATCATGAAAATTTATCTCTTTTAGTAATCTGAGGCTATCAAGTAGTAGTAGTAGTACAGCTTCTCATCAAGAACCAAACAAGTTAATTATTGTAGATAAGCGCACATGTGTATAACAAGAACTTGATGGATTTTGGATTTGATTCACGAGCTTGATCATAGATTTGGTTTGCTTCAGGTACAATCTGATGATTGCCTGGATTTGAAATTTAGATATCACGAACGGAAGATTTAAAATCGATTGCTTGGAATCATGATTTGAGCTTTACCTTTGAATTTGGTCATGGATGAAGATCATAGATGTAAAGGAAGACTTTGAATGGTTTATTCATAGTTTCTCTAGCTTTCCTTCCGCTTGCTTGATGTATTTTTGATTTCCTTTTTGCCTTATAAGAGCTTCCTATTTATAGTGGCAGAATAAAAGAATAATGATAAAGCCAAAAAAATTACCTTTGATTTGATTAGTCTGTTCAAGTAACAAATCAATCTGATAAGTTTTCATTTGGTTGGTCAAAGACTGTCATTAATTATACACTTGACAAGCTTGTATTTTGCAAGTTCATTTTAGGCCTTCATTTTACTTGCATGTCATGAGGCATGACTGACTATATTGGCTTCTTCTTTTAACTTGGTGCCACGTAATTTCATATGTGGCAATGGCATGATATTTAAGATGGATTAATAGTCATTTAAACTCTGATCTAGTAGAGTTCAACTAAGTGGACTAGCCCAAATAAATTCATGCTGGACTCAGATAATTAACCTTGATTTAAGTTTAGTATTTCTTGAATTTCGCAACCAAATTTATTGTGGACCTTAATTCCATAAAAATTGGAAAATAATATTGTATAGTCGCTCTCAAAGTAATAGCCAAATATATATACACACACACACATTTTTTACTGGGCATGTTGCTGTATATATATATATATTTTGTATGTTATATACAAAAATTATATAAATTTTATAAAAAAAAAATTCGGCTACCAAATATAAATAGTTTCTGACGCGCAGAAAAAGTGATAATACTCCTAAAAAATTCATATGTCTACATTGAATTTTACTGAAATTTCTTGATTACAAAGATTTATGTACTTTGGAAAAATGGCTTTTGCACAATTTGATGATTTCGTTACTCCCTCAATCCATGTGTTAATACGGGTTTTACCCGAACCAAACATGCTTTTTACCTGTATAAATAGAAAAAATAGTACGGGCTGGCCACTTTGTAAAAATTGTAATATATTAGCAAGTATTTGTAAAGTAGTTGAAAAATAGTCATCTTTTAATGTGAAATATAATCTCAATAAAATAGCTTTATCTAAAAGACGAATTATATTTTTGTATACTGATCATGTTAGCATTCACATATATTCTCTTTTAATCCTTTACTCTGTAACCGTTTCTTTTCATTATATTTTCGGAGTTTTTTGTATTTAAAGTTTTTATGTTGCATTACTAGTTTATGGTAAATCTGGTATTTATACTAAATCAATTCGACTTACCATGACTAAGTGATTTAATAAATTGTGAACATGAGAGAACTCTATGTGTACTGGTTTGGTGTAAATGCTCGGTGTAAGTAAGTTTTCACCCTAGTTAATTAGTACTACTTCATTCATCTAGTGCATTATGTTCTTTTCTCTTAATCATCTTTTTCACTTTAATTTGGATTAGTTTTAATCTCTGTAGCAAAGACTCTTATCTTCTTGTGTACGTGCATGTGTTTAGTAATTGCCATTGACGTTCGACTCCAGCTATAAATTCTATGATTATGTTGAAATGAACTTTTAAATGTTTACGTGTGACTGGATTGTTCAACTCAATTAATAAGCAAATACAAATTGCAGTTTATTGTTTTAATGTTAAATATAGCCAAAGCAGTGAAGCTGCTATGGACTGATTTTGTGTGTAAGATATTTATGAAAGGGATCTTGGTGTAAAGAGTGCAATCCGTTGATATTAAAAGGAGATTGACCATCTCTTTTCTTGATTTTTCTTGTTTTTCTTTTAATTAATATGGTGCTTATGCTTTCCTGAGCCGAGGGTCTATATATTAGAAATAGTCTCTCTATCTCCGAGGGAGATTCTTTTGTAAACATTCAAGTTGACAATGGGGTTTCCAATGATTTCGGTGGATCTAAGAATAACGTAGGAGTAAGTTTTATTTTGAGCTGCCCCCTTCTTAGAAGGCTTGTGCTGTCGTGGTGCTTTGACATTCATCATTTTATTATCAGTGGTCCTAATCTTAAGGAGTTGTACGTCAAGGCTATTGATAGGTTCATGATCAAATCAATCTCCTTAGAGAAGGCTCCAGACAAGTTTCTGTTTATCTATGGAGAGTTGGAAAAGGTAACGGTTGTTTGTGGGTAGCTTGCCTAAAGTCAAATTACTTCATATTCTGCAGGTTATCTTTAGCTCGCCATCACTTGTGACAATGAGCATCCTGGAGCACCCACAACTTGAAGCAAAACAAGTCGTGAATATAGCTAGGAAGTTGCTCCAGTTTCGGCCACCGCCAACAGTGTCTATAGATTTCTCAACGGACAGTCAAACTTACTAGTATCGTAATGTGAGTTTCAGGGAGCTGCCATTGATAAGAGAAGTACTATAAGTTTACTGCATGACTTGTACTGGTTTAGTTAACGTTCCTATTCTTTTGGTTTGCTAAAGCTAAAGAATTCCAAATGAAATTGGAAGAAAAGAATTTGTTTGTCAAGTCTTGCTACTCACAAGAAGAATAACATCTATAGCAAGTTTGCTAATATTTTACTTCACCACTTGCTGCATAGCTGGCATTTCTGATTTGAAGAAAACATTAGACATGCATGGCCAGAAATCATTAGTGTATATGGTCTTATTAACATTGGACATGACTAAACAACAATGTGTTGCATTTTTCCTTACTGTAGGTGTAATTGCTTTTTCAGTCAATGCTAAGCGTTTTTAACTGAAATTCAGGATGCACTGGCTTATTCTTAAATAGCAGCCCTTTAGAGTGGTTACCTCGTGTCATTTCTACGTGTTTTTACTTTTCTTGCCTATTCTTGAATGGTCTATTAAATGCGACTTTGGTTGTCTTATTATAAAGTTACATTTTGGGCTGCTATTTGTTAATCAAATCAGTATGAACCTTAATTCCCTACTTGATCAAAGTCTCTTCACTATATTGGTAAGCAGTGAAGCCGGAAACCCTTTCCTCTCCCCCCTTTCTCACACCCTCAATATACCTTTTTTTTTTTTTTTTTTTTACCTCTCTTTTTATTTACCTATTTTTGGTAAGATCAGTTGTATGTTGAAAGCAACATCTTATTTAGCTGTTTACCTGTAGGTATAGGTTTTTATTTCTTGTTTTTTCTTTTTCTTTTTGTCCTTCTAACACCCATTGTACAGTTGATTTGTTCATTTATTGAGGAAAGGAACTCTCATTTGATAAATATTGAATTAAAGTATGTTATATCGCTGCAGAAGTGAACTGTGGCAAGTTAAGAAAATATGTTATCTTTGTTTCTGATATTCAATGAATTGCGACACTGCATATTAGTTAGCTTTCTAGTTGTCATATTAGTTTCTTTTAACTTATGTGATGCCTTGAGAGTGTGAGTTAATGCTCGTAGACTGATTCTAAAGATTTTTGTGAAGGGAAAAGAAAAAATCACAAAGCCAGTTTGAACTCAAAATTTATCTTACTATCCATAATATCAAAATCAATACATATTACATGTATAAACTACTTGTACAAAGTTTACTATTGTATACTTTTTATTTCAGATTCAAAACAGAGCAAGATTTTGAAACATCCCCTGTGTTTCTTGTAGCAACTGCCATGGCTGATAATGGCAATTCAATTCCTTCTCTCTCTCTGCCATTTCATTAAACAATTTTTTTCCAATCTCAAACGAGACAAAAGCATCAATAGCACCATATTCAACTTGTTCATAGCACAAATCCTCTGCATCCCACTTACTCAAAGTAATATCCTTTGGCTTTTCCATTATTTTCCCAAGTACTGCTTTTGCCATTCTCTTCAAACCCATCTTTCCATACACATATTCTCCATAATACAACAATGCAAGTTGGTTCAAATCCACAGTATTCGCCACGAAAAGCCTGTGATCACACATCAACTTCTCAGCATCTCCTTCAACCCCGACACCAACGAATGTAAAATTAGGGTTACTCAGAAATTGTGCGAGGTATCCGGGCATGGAATCTTTGTGTAGGAGTTGAAAAAGAAGGCAACGTCGGCCTACACAAAGTTGGAGAAGAGCAACTGGTTGTTTGTCTTTTGGATTGAAATACGGGAGCCACTCGATATCAAGACCAATAAGGAGCTTGTGTAGTCTTCGCCTATGAATATGAATAGTATGCAAAATCCAGTCATTAACCGCGACTGCATTCTTGGTTACAGTAACCTCTATTTGGTCACTGTAGAAAGAAACTCCGTACACTTCAGCCATTGATAAACAGAGAACTTTTGTTAATATGGAGTATAACTTGTAGAATGGAATGGAATTAATAAGGGTTGTGTGTATATATATCAATATAAGAGAGTGAGTTTTCCTAATTAACGTCGGAAAGGGAAAGGAAATTAACGTTTTGGAAGTTTCCAAATTTTTTCTTCCTAATCCTTGATGAATTTGGTTTGTAACAAGAATTAAATAATGAGTTTCCTAATTATTTCATTAAACTTAAAAAACCGATTTTTGAATAGCTGTCAAATCGAGGAGAATCTTTAAATATCCGCGCAAACTAGAATTTTGCCCTATTCGTTAAGTATTAAATCTTGGGTTAAAGTTTATACACCTTATTCATTATCATGCTACTTTAGAACTAACTATATGTTTATTAGGTGTTGAGCTGTAATATGAAAATGATTAAAGTTAATTGTACTGTCATAATAAAATTTTAATTTTTAGCTTATGTAGTTGTATATTCGCCCTCTGATGAAAAAAGTGATACCACGTCGGAACACCAGGACGTCGAGCTCGGGGTCGAAGTTCCTTTCCAAGATCGAGGTCGATATCACACACCGAGGTCAGAAGAGGGCATACTTCGAGATGATGTCGGTATAATTCAGTAACAGAAAGAGCGAGATACCCGTAACGGACCGAAGATCACGACGTGGATTTCGGAATGCATTGGTCCTCGACGGTTAATCAATTGTCAAATATGATTTCCTACTATAATTAAAAGCGTACCTTATTTAGGACTCCCCTAATATATAAAGGGGGATCCCATTCATTTGTAAGCATCATTATTCACGGAGAAGAATATATACACTCATTACTATCTTGCTATTTCACTTACTGTTCATCAGAGTTGCTTTATCATTTTGCTATCCCTATTATCACACGTCGATACTACCACAGGTCGAGGACGAGATTTGGCTTGCATACCGGTCTGATCTATTTTATTCTCTAATTTATCTATTTAATTACTTGTTTATCGATTGGTATTGGATTAAATCACATATCCTTAAAACCACAATATAAGTTTAATTGTTACTCGAATTTTACGGTAAACAGTTTGGCGCCCACCGTGGGGCTAAGGATAATAGTGATTGTTTCAGTGTTGATTCTGATAACACACGTTATTTCACACTTGTTCTTGTCAAGTATTTTTTCTCTCAGGTTAAAACATATCAAACTCACAAAATGCACCCGTACATGGTGGTGATGGTCTCGAATTTCACGGGGAAAACGACAATGTAATTGTTTCAGGAGCCTGGTGCCACCGGCTAATCTCGGAGGAGCACCGGTTGCCAATCTAGTCGATATCAGTTCACACGTCGCTCTAAACGCGGACCTAGGTGCGGACCCCGAAGGGAGTGTACGCAAGGAAGGCCGATCTGGTGTCCACGGTACACAGGGCAGAAGAGACGGGGGAGTTAGCCTCCAAATAATATTCGAGATGGTACAGGCTCAGCAGGCCGCTATTGCTCAATTGCAAAACCAACACAGGACTCCAAGTGTGGTCGAGCCAAAAATCACTCGCCGTACCGAGCCAGTGCCAGAAAGGTCGAATGGTAACGAATCAAGGACTGACCCTGCAATAATGAAAATGCTCGAGGAGCTCACCAAAAGAATTGAGTCGGGAGAGAAGAAAATCGAAGATAATGATAAAAAAGTGGAAACATACAACTCCCGAGTTGATCAGATACCGATGGCACCCCCGATCTTAAAGCGTTTGGATTCGAAAAAGTTCGTGCAGAAGCCTTTTCCTCAGAGTGCGGCTCCGAAGCCCATTCCTAAGAAGTTCCGTATGCCGGATATACCTAAATACAACGGGACCACCGATCCTAACGAACACATCACTTCGTACACGTGCGGAATAAAGGGAAATGACTTAAAATATGATGAGATCGAGTCTGTTTTGTTGAAAAATTGGGGAAACTTTGTCAAAGGGAGCAATGATTTGGTATCACAACCTGCCACCAAATTCCATCGACTCATTTGCCATGTTAGCAGATTCTTTCATGAAGGCACACGCCGGGGCCATAAAGGTCGCAACGAGAAAATCGGTCGTTTTCAAGATAAGACAAAGAGATAACAAAATGCTGAGAGAGTTCGTATCTCGATTTCAAATGGAACGCGTGGAGTTGCCATCGGTCACAGATGATTGGGCCGTTCAAGCTTTCACCCAAGGGTTGAATGAGCGGAGTTCGATAGCATCACGAGAGTTGAAACAAAATTTGGTCGAGTATCCAGCTGTAACTTAGGCAGATGTGCACAATCGATATCAATCGAAGATCAGGGTCGAGGACGACCAATTAGGAGCCCCTTCCAGTTCAGTACATCCAAACAGGTCGGCAGCTAAAACCCCGAAGGACGTCAATAGTGAGCCAAGGTCGAACCGAGAACGATATCAACCATATACCGCATATCGAAGGAACAATGGTTCAGGATGCAATTCCGCCCGGAATGATCGAAGAAGTGATCGAGGAAAGAATTCTCGGGGACTTATGAGCAAAAGTGGTTAATAAGCATGCGGATCCCATAGAGGCGCCTCGATTATCGGAATATAACTTTAGCATCGACGCATCGGGCATTATATCGGCAATCGAAAGGATCAAAGATACTAGGTGGGCTAGACCCATACAGATCGATCCTTCCCAAAGAAACCCAAATCTGATGTGCAAGTATCATGGCACGCATGCCACAAGACCGAGGATTGCAGGCAATTAAGAGAGGAAGAAGCAAGTCTATTCAACGAGGGCCACCTTCGAGATTTCCTCAGCGATCGAGCTAAGAATCATTTCAGAGAAAGGGACACCAACAGGGAAAATGAACAGGAAGAACCCCAGCATGTCATTCATATGATCGTCGGTGGGGTCGACATTCCACAGGGACCCATATTCAAACGCACTAAGGTATCAATCACCAGGGGAAAACAAACCCGAGATTATGTGCCCGAAGGCTCCTTATCATTCAACGACGAAGAAGCAGGAGGCATTTTTCAGCCACACAACGACGCTCTATAATTTCTATCTTATTAAATAAAGTTCAAGTTATGCGTGTTTTAGTGGACCTAGGTAGCTCGACGAATATCATCCGATTGAGGGTCGTGGAGCAACTCGGCCTACAAGATCAAATTGTGCCCACAGCTCGGGTCTTAAACGGCTTCAACAGGCTAGTGAAACAACTAAAGGAGAGATTATTTTAGCGGTAAACGTGGCTGGAACCATTTAAGATACCAAATTCCACGTGATCGAGGGCGACATGAGGTATAATGCCCTACTCGGGAGGCCTTGGATCCACAACATGAAGGCAGTACCCTTGACTCTCTACCAAATGATGAAATTCCCGACGATGGACGGTGTAAAAACAGTATACGGGAGCAGAATGCCGCAAAGGAAATGTTTGCGGTCGATAAGGTAATAGTGATTTCAACACTATCAACCTCGAAAAGGTCGAGCATCAAAGGTAAACAGGAAGCCAAATAGCAATCACAGCCACCAGCCTCGACCGAATCAAGAAAGCAGGGGATAGAAGAAGAAGAAGAAGAAGATTTTCTAACTCCTCGAACTTTTATTGTTCCCGAAGATTTTGATGCCACCAAATCAATGGTCGAAGAGCTGGAACAGGTTATATTGATCGAGTACCTGCCCAAGTGAAAGGTATACCTGGGAACGGGATTAACCCCCGAACTCAGGAAAAAGCTTATTCAGTTTCTTATTTATAACATAGATTGTTTTTCTTGGTCCCATTTAGACATGACAGGGATCCCACCGGAGATAACAACGCATCGGCTAAGCCTTGACCCTAGGTTCAAACCAGTGAAGCAAAAGCGAAGACCCCAATCCAAGGTAAAGCACTCATTCATAAAGGATGAGGTAACTAAACTTCTCAAAATAGGGTCTACTCGGGAGGTAAAATATCCCGAATGGTTAGCCAACGTAGTCGTAGTCCCTAAAAAAGAACAAACTTAGAATGTGTGTAGATTATAAAGATTTAAACAAGGCATTCCCCGAATATTCTTTTCCACTGCCTAACATCGATCGCATGATCGACGCCACGGCTGGCCACGAGATCCTTACCTTTCTTGATGCCTATTCCGGGTACAATCAAATTCAAATGAACTTGGAAGACCAGGAAAAGACTTCATTTATCACCAAGTATGGAACATATTGTTATAATGTAATGCCCTTTGGGCTAAAAAATACAGGAGCTACTTACCAATGCCTGGTAAATAAAATGTTCGAAGAACAAATAGGTAAGTCAATGGAAGTTTATATCCATGACATGCTAGTTAAGTCTCTATGCGCAGAAGACCATTTAGCTCATTTGCAGGAAACGTTCAGGATTTTGAGGAAATATAACTTGAAGCTCAACCCCGAGAAATGTGCTTTCGGGGTCAGTTCGGCAAATTCTTGGGCTTCATGGTGTCGAATCGGGGGATCGAGATCAACCCCGATAATACCAAGGCCATCGAGGACATCATCGTCATGGACAATGTAAAAGCGTGCAGAGGCTGACTGGACGGATAGCAGCATTAGTCCGATTCATCTCGAGGTCATCGGATCAAAGTCACAGATTTTTCTCTCTACTCAAAAAGAAGAACGATTTCACCTGGACCCGAGAATGCCAACAGGCATTAGAGGAACTAAAGTGATACCTGTCGAGCCCACCACTACTTCACACTCCAAAGGCAGATGAGAAACTTTACTTATACTTGGCAGTGTCGGAAATCGCGGTAAGTGGTGTCCTAGTTCGAGAAGAGCAAGGTATGCAATTTCGCGTTTATTATATGAGTCGAACCCTAGGAGAAGCAGAAACTAGATATCCACACTTAGAGAAATTGGCACTTGCATTGATAAGCGCCTTTAGAAAGTTAAAACCATACTTTCAATGTCACCCCATATACGTGTTAACCACATATCCACTTCGTAATATTTTGCACAAGCCCGAACTATCGGTCCGATTGGCCAAATGGGTCGTCGAACTCAGTGGGTACGATATCGAGTATCAACCCCGAACGGCCATCAAGTCTCAAATTTTG